GGTATCAGTGATATAATTGCCTCCTTCCATGAATCCGGCACCTTCTTATTCTCTCGTATTTCGTTGGATAAAGCTTCCATGGCCGGAGCTACTTCTTCTTTCATTTTTTTATAAAACTTTGCGGTAAATCCGTCCGGCCCTGGCGCCTTCCCCAACTTCGCTTCGTCAATTGCCTTCAGCACTTCATCCTTTTGAACTCGTCTATTTAAAATGTCCTTAAAATCACTGCTTATTTTCGGTAGTGGAACTTCTTCCAAATATTTTTTAATCTTCTCAAGATCAACTCTAGTCGCTTGAAACAATTTAGCATAATACTTGAAGAAACTTCTCTTTATACTATTAGGGTCAACGAATTCTTTTCCATCTTCTATTATTTTGGTTATCATTCTTCTTTCTTTTCTAGCTTTAAGTTGCCAAGCTAGATATTTTCCCGGTTTGTTTGCCCCTTCGAATGATTTTTGTTGTAATCTCTTTAAATTCCATTATGGTGATATTAAAACTGTGTTCTCGCCATCCTATATTTTCCATTGTACATGTAGCTCTTTATAAATGTTTTATGATTTTTTAAATTTTTAAAATCTGTTTTAACTTTTAACGTAAGCCACCCTGAGCCTGCTTTGGCAGGGAAGGCAGGGTATTAATCTAATAAAATAAAGAAATAGCCCTTGACTCAAACCCCTCTGGTGTGTCTGGGTTTAATTTCAATTTGTTCACTCCCATCTTGTCCCTCTGAGCCTCCGTACTCTGGTTCAGCTAGTCCATAGCTTCCCTGGATCCTGATGGAGAGAAGAGATAACTGGGGTGTCATCAGCATAAGGATGACAGCTCTATTCAAATCACCAAGTGATCTCTCCCAATGGTTTCATGTAGATATTAAACAGCAGACGCGGGGAAGAAGAGGAGGAGGAGGAGGAGGAGGCTGGATTTATATCCCGCCCTTCACTCAAAGTCTCAGAGCAGCTTCCAATCTCCTCCCTTCCTCTCTCCACAACAGACACCCTGTGAGGTAGGTGGGGCTGAGAGAGCTCTTTCGAGAACTGCCCTTGAGAGAGAACAGCTCTGAAAGAACCTATGACTGACCCAAAGTCACACCAACAGCTGCATGTGGAGGAGTGGGGAATCAAACCCAGTTCTCTCAGATTAGAGTCTGTGCTCCTAACCACTGCACCAAACTGGCATTGGACAGATATTTAACTCTAGTGTTAGAACAAATTTTGAGTCCAGTGGTACCTTTAAGACCAACAAATGTTTATTCCAGATATGAGCTTTCATGTGCATGCACAACTGAGGAAGTGTGCGTGCACACGAAAAGCTCATACCTTGAATAAAACTTTGTTGGTCTTAAAGGTGCCGCAGGACTCGAAATTTGTTCTCCTGCTTCAGACCAACATACATACATACATACATACATACACATTGGATTTCTATACCGCCCCTTTCCGTAGACTTGGGGCGGTTTACATAGTTTGTACAGTTTTTCTAACCTAGGGGCACATAGACAGGGGAGGTGAATTCCTTACCCAGGCACCCCCTATTTTCGGCTGCCCACCTGGATCTAACTCTATTGTCGTTACCCAAACAGATGACAACTGACCAGTGGAGAAATTTAGTCCAATCTGCAGTTCTGGAGCCAGAAGTGAGAAAGTACATGTTCTACAACTCCAGAGTATTTGGGATAGCCATTGCTGTGGTAAGGACCGTAGTGCATCAGTGAAGTGGGTGTGTGGAGAGGGCAGGGATGTATTTTTCTGAGATCCAAAATAACTAGACAGTATCTTGGATTAGGGCAGCACTTTGCTGCTGCAGATTGCCGGCTTCTATATAGCAAAGCATTGCAAACCTGGCAACTGCCTTGATGAATCTGACCAAGGTCTTTTTGGGAGTGAGCCAAGAAACCCTTGTCTTTCAGACTCAGCTGCTCACCATAGTACACTTGCAGTTTGCATTAGTTGAGTGCCAGAACCAATGGCTCAGTGTGGTATAGAACACAGAATTTGGACCAGGAGGACCTGGGGGTCCCAGTTTTCTCTTGCCACAAAGTCTCCCGGGCAATTGCAGACCAGTTCCATTCACTCTGCTTTATCTTCCTCGCTGAGTTCTTTTCAGGATAGTGAGGCTGTGGCTCCATGGTACAATATCTGCTACGCATGCAGGAGGTCCCAGTTTCACCTCCAGGGATCTCTAGTTATAAAGGATCAGGAAATATGTAGGGTTGTCACGACTCCCGAGGCCAGCAGTGGGGGATGGGGGGATAGAGTTGCCAGATCCAGGTTGGGGAAGTTCTTGGGATTTGGTGATGGTACCAGGGAAGGACAGGGACCTCCGTGGGGTACAATGCTGTAGAGCCCACCTCCAAAGCAGCTGTTTTCTCCAGGGAAACTTATCTTTGTAGTTTGGAGATGAGCTGTAATTCCAGGGGAACCTCAGATCCCAACTGGAGGCTGGCATGGCATTCCTAGTTAGGTCGCGTGAAAGGTTTCCACGTAAGACCCGGAGAGCCACTGCTAGTCAAAGCAGATAAGACTGATCATGACAGTCAGCTTAAAAGAGCTTCAAATGTTCAAAATGGAGTAAACCGTGTGACCACCACCACCCTGAGCTCATTGGACAAAGGGAAATGTTGTTCTCACTGGCTCTGAATGCTGCTCATGGTGCTTTGCGCAGTATTTAAGGTCTGAATCCAGAGGCCTAACTCCTAGAATTGGTTCCCAGAGCTCCGCCATGCTACTGCCCCTTGTCTGAACAAATTTGGAAATTTGGGTGATTACAGGAAATCCTAATGGGCAGGGTGGTGGGCTGAACTGGATCCAGTTAGGATCTGTCTTCTCTCCAAAGGGGTTGGGCTCTGATTGTGAATGGCTGTGAGAGAAACCAGACCCAGGAACAGAGGTGGCTCAAGGCATCCTGCCAAGCCCAAGCACCCTGCTGCCCACCTTGGACGTGGGTTGGGCAGCAGTGGTGGGAGGCTACAGATTCAAGATGGGCTGCAGTGGCGCTGTCTTGGGAGCTAATTAAACCTGACACCGGACGCCATGGGAGGAGGGGGTGCAGGGGTGCAGGACTCCTCCACTGCCATCTCCGCCAATCTGATGTCCCAAGTGGCCACTGAGTTGCTCCTGCCCCTGAAATCTCTGCCACCCACTTCAGTTCAGACTCTTTTCCCATCACTGGCTCTGAAGCCCGGAGTTATTTAGGTGGGTTGATTTTGCTGGGCACCTGATGTCCTGACTGTGTTAAAACAAATAGCACTTAGCTTTGCCAATATCATCTTGGCCAAATAAAGGTCCCCTGTTTGTTGGCCATTTGTATTTCTCTTCACAGTGTTTGGCCTATCGTTCATTCTGTCTCTGGGTCTTTTTCAGGTTTTCTATGTGACTCTCTGGATAAATCTGTATTCCACTCTGCAAATATATTCCCTAGGACAGAACTGGAAAATCAGTATCTTGGTTACTTTAGCGGCCCTCGTGGCTGCCTTGGTCATCAGGTTCATCATTCATCATCAGCAGGGAAAGGTAAGATGAATGGGGTGTGTTTGGGGACCATGGCAGCCTAGATGGCCACCAGGTTTCCTGGAGGTCCTTTGGGGCAATCCTCAGCTGATCCTTGAATAGTGAGACTATTTGTAAAACCTGTCACTGCAATGATTCCACCTCTTCACAGTGTAGTTGGTCCAGACTGAAACTGGTTCTCGGCATCTTTTTTTTAAAATGATTTATAATTTTACAACTTTGGCCAGTGCAAACTGAATAAGGATGAGTGGATTTATTTCCCCCATTCCATTCCATTCCATTCCATTCCATTCCATTCCATACCACAATAGTTTTGGAATGTTGCTCTGCATGGTATTTTTCTCCACCTTAATTCCAGCTTGATGAGAAGAATCTCTAAAATTAATTCCAGCGATCAGATCTCTGGCATATTGCAGCTGCAAAAAGCTGCCATAGATGCATGATAAGAATCGGGACAGATTCCCTGGTTAAAAATGCACCCCCTCCCCAAACTACTTTAATCTCCAGGAGAGAGATTTCTGGCCCTTGGACTGCTGTCCGGAGAGTAGCCCGGTCATAAAGAAACAGAAGCCACTCTTGGGTTGTGCAGGATCTTCCCTCAGGAGGAACAGATCCTGAGCATCATTTGCCTGGGCTCAATACAAGCTGGTAACATCCCTCCACCAAAGCCATTCTGTCTAAGTCATGCCATCTCATGAATCATGAAAAAAACATTTCTGTTTTATTTCTGAAATCAGATAAAGTATAGAATGGATTTACAACCTAGGCCAGGTCCCCTTGGACCTAAGAACATAGAGGTATCCTGCTGGATCAGGCCAGTGAGCCATCTAATCCAGCATACTTTTTCACACACTGGAAAACCAGTTGCCCTGGATGGCCAACAGAGTCTAGCAGCCAAAGCCACCCCCTGATGTTGCTTCCTGTCATTGGTAGTCAGAGATTTGCTATAAAGTAGGCCAGTCATTATTCCCATATTGTGGGGAGAGGGGGAAGGATGAGAAAGAGCAAGAGAGCCCTTCTTAAGTCTACCTACTGAGTTCACAGCAGAGGTAAAATTCAAACCAAGGACATCCTGATTCATAGCTCATGATGTTATACTAGCCAGGAGCTTTGTTCTGTCTGAAGCTTGTGCTAGCGATATTAGTAGCCCAGCCCCACTGCATTAATGACAGTCCAGTGGTTTATGTGTGAAGTCAAAGACTTTGCACTGTCTCTAAGCCTCATACGTCAGAGAGGATCCATGAGTCAGAAAGATAGGTAGGCTACGACACTAACCATCCTTTCCTTCTACTGCTCTGATGTGTAGATTGCTACTCTCAGGGAAACTTCCTTCTGGCCTGACACCTTCTCTCCACACTCAATCAATCAATCAATCAATCAACCTTTAATGGCATATACAACCTTAAAAATCAAAGACAGAAAATGACACAATCAACTAAAAGTCTAGGTTAATTATAAAATCATGAAACGGACTTTCCCAAATTTTTCACTCTCATCACGTCAACTAAAAAATTGGCCACTGCCACAGTAATCTCTGCTGTTACATCGTTCAATAGAAATTGGCATTTTATTTCATTGGAAAGGTGATGTTTACCATGCAACCAAGTGTTCAACCATTTTTCCCTAGCAGATGCATGCCACGAACAGTCTAACAATATGTGATCAATTGAATCAAGAGAGTTAGAACCGCAGTCACATCTCTCTCCACACTATGCTAGCCTTCTTCATCTTAGCACCAAGAGGGCATGACCTGATTCCTGCATCTGTATCCTTCCTAGCTAGTTAGACTTGATTAGAACCCTATCTTTACTGTATCCTGTCTATAATGGAGTTCCTTACGATAAAGGACTCATATTAGCTTTGCAAAGATAAAGAGGCTCTGTGTGTAACTCTGTATCTTGCCAGCACACACAAACCAGATAGATTCTGCTGTGTTATGTGCCTTGAGCACTTTGCCATCAAGATAATCCTTCAGTTCAGACACATTAACATCTCCTGGCTTTCCTTATGTAACAGATGAATATGAATACAGATATGAGGTTAGTGGCTGCCAACGAAGTTTTAATGAAACATGAATTGCTGGTGGGAGTCACTGACAAATTGGACCAGCTTCACAGCATCCCACAGGTATGCTCTCTCTATCAACCAGCCTCCATCTATCTCTGGGAGCTCATTACTCATTTCACCCAAGCCGTGAGATGCTGCTGAGACCGGGCTTCCTGGCGTTTAGATTCCTAATGATGAGATAGACTCAGTGCCAAATCATCTGCTGGGAGTTCCATGACTGGAGCTGCCGGTGTTTTTTTCTTTTTAATGCAGTTATCAGTTGGGCAAGAGATCAGCTCTGACTGGGACCATGGTGTGATAATGTGGTGTTGGGAGGTGCTGTTCAGTGGCAACTGACTTATGGCAATCTCATAGGGTTTTCAAGACAAGGGATATTTAGAGGTGGCTTGCCATTGCCTGCCTCTGCATAGCAACCCTGGACTTTCTTTGGTGGTCTCCCATCCAAATATTAACCAGGGCTGACCCTGCTTAGCTTCTGAGATCTGATGAAATCAAGCTAGCCTGGGCCATCCAGGTCGGGATATGGTGTGGTGGAAGGGTTGTTGAATGGTCAGCAAAATGGCAGTGGAAGAGAAGACTTAACCCCTCCTCCCTTTGCATCATGGGTCTGATCAGATCCCTGTGTGCATAAGAACCACATTTTTTAAAAAAAGATGGCAAGAGGTCTAATCATGGACCTCCCAGCATCTTGTCTGGCCCAGACAGCACTGGACACTAATGAGGTCTTGCAAAAAAAATGGTGAGCGTGTGTGTGATTTACTAGGGGTGGTTACTGAAAAACCAAGACTGTCCCTGATAAACAGGTGTATATATTCATAGCCACACTCCATAAATGAGTTTGCTGGTTCAGAATGGGTCCTAGTAAATTGCCCAAGCCACTAGGAGGAAAACAGACTCTGATTGCTGCTGGTTTCTCAGATTTTACCTGGCCTTGACCTTTCAAGCCTACATGCCCATCATCATCATCATCATCACCACCACCACCACCTTCTCAATTTATGAATTGCCTCATCCCTGCAAAAACAGAGCTCTGGGCAATATACATGAACAAGGGGCAGGGCGGGAGGGAGGCAGAGGAAGCAGGAGGAGGAGGTAAGTACCCCCCCCATCCCTCTGGTTCCCCCGTCTCCTCCACCCCCCTTGCTTTTCCTCCCCTTTGCCTTCCCCCCCGGTTCCTCGCCGTTTCCCCCCCCCCGGCCCCCGCTGCTCTTTCTCCCCCCCACGCCGCCTCCGAAGCAAGGCCCTCGCGGCTTGCCGCTCGGCCCTCGCAGCTTGCCGCTCGGCCCTCGCTGCTGTTCCCCCCCCCCGCCGCCTCGCTGCTTGCAGAGCATTCCCTGCACATGTGCAGGGGACGCTCTGTCAGTTTCGGGGGGATTTAAGTATCCCCCCGATAGTTTTTGTTAGGTTTAGGATTTTTGTGCACACGTGGGGACCGCCCCACGTGCGCACAAACCTCTCCCTCCCCCCCCCAGGTCCCCCCGATGTGCGGATTTAAGTATCCGCACACCAGGGGGCGACTTGAGAATTAGATATATAGATGATAAAACAATACGTAAAATCATACAGCAATCCAAATATACAGTTAAGCATGTAATTAAAAACCTAAAATCCAAGATGGTGCCCTAATAAATCTTATTCCCATACTGGACTGCGCCACTGCCCCATGGGCAGGGCAGGATGAGGGAAACAGGTGAAACGAGGAGAAAGAGGGAGGGTGATAGCGTCACTTTCCTCAACCAAAAGCCCGGTGGAACATCTCTGCCTTACAGGCCCTGCGGAATTGTATTAAATTCCTCATGGCCCTGATGGTGTTCGGCAAAGAGTTCCACCAGGTCGGGGCCAAGACTGAGAAGGCCCCGGCCCTAGTCGAGGACAACCAGACATCTTTGGGTCCAGGGATCACCAGCAAATTATTCTCCGCCAATTGAAGTGCTTTCCTGGGGACATACCAAAAACAGGGTTTCCATTCCTCCAATGGGGGCAGGAGTTTACCCACTTTCTGGGGCCCTGATCTGCTGCCGCCCAGTTAGCCAGTGGGGGAACTCCACCCTCAAAGATTGCCTGGCACAATGATGTCACCCGGAGGTGACGTCATCGTGCAATGCACATTGCGGGGGGGGGGGCACTCTAGCGTTTGACCATAGAAGTTTCTCACAAATGCTAGAGTGCCCCCCGCAATGTGCCCCATGCAATGATGTCACTTCCAGGTGATGTCATCGTGGTGCGTGCACTTTGTGCACATGCCGAGAACTCCAGGGCACAGAGAGGGGACCCCCCCCCCCCAATCGGCAGCCAGGCAAGACCTGGCAATCCTAACAGAAAAAGGTGATCCCGAAGGAACGTGGATTATAAACATGTGCCTTTTCATTCAATGAAAACTGAGACTCCTGAGGGACTGGATCCTGTGCCAGTTTCTAATTTTGGTGCCTGGGAATTATGATTTTTGTCATGCACACAGACCCACATATAAACTGTCTGGAGCCATAAGGAAATCGTGCTTCTTTGTCCTGTTTCCCATGTTCCTCAGCTGTGGTTTGTTCATTTCACCGTGGAGCCGTGTCTTCAGTCTTTAGAGGAGTCAATTATAAATATGAAGAGGAACCAGGAGGTGAGTGATGCTTGGACATGTTTGGGCTTGTCTCTGGGGTGGTTCCCAAAGTACGGATCCTTCAAAATCCTCCCCATACAAATTTCTCACCAGATTTTGGAGCTCTGATCAACTCTTCTTTTCCCCAAAGTGGAATTCCCAGTTAGGAACCCTCTGCAGTTCCTGAGCATATGCAGTGCACTACCTGTTTGAATCCCTTCATAATTAATGTCTTTTCTGCTGTTCTGCAGTACTCGTGCACAGATGTGCATTGATATTGCACTGTAAGAAGGAATAGTCTTGATGCAGTGGAACGGTTAGTCACAGAGCCAACCAGAGGGGTAAAAAGGTAAAGGTAAAGGTTCCCTTGCTCGAAAGCCAGTCGAATCCGACTCTAGGGTTGCGGTGCTCATCTCCGTTTCCAAGCCGAAGAGCCAGCGCTGTCCGAAGACATTTCTGTGGTCATGTGGCCGGCATGATTAAACACCAAGGCGCACGGAACGCTGTTACCTTGCCACCGAAGTGGTCCCTATTTATCTACTTGGAATTTCTTGCTTTCGAACTGCTAGGTTGGCAGGAGCTGGAACTAGAGATGGGAGCTCACTCCATCATACGGCACACTCGGGTCTCGAACTGCTGAACTACTGATCTTCCACAGCCTGCAGTTCAGAGTCTTAACCACTTGAGCCACCACAGATCCTAACCAGAGGGGTAGTGATCTTGAATTTGGTTCTGAGCAGGTCTCAAGACCTAGTGAGAGATGGCTAAGACTGCTAATAGCTCTTCACATCATTTGACCTGTAAGGTCTCAGTAGACGTGTCACTGCTGGTGTTCTAGAGTCAAGCAGGTATATAGGAGTAAATAGTCCACAAAGTGCTCAGATCAAAGAGTCAGGCTAGACTCGGTAGTTTTGTAGGACTATTTGGGACCCTACTGGCCTCATGTGTCACCTGATCCATGCTGGGTTGGTAGGTGCAGACCCACTGAATATCCTCTGGCCATCTGCTATCGTGGTGCTACAGAGCAGCGGAGAGAATAGGCCAACTTTTCCCTTTCTCTGGCAAATTGCCCCGAGCAGGACAGAGAGAAAAGTGCCTATATCTTGCTGTTACTGTTTGAGAAGCTAGGCATGCCCAACAAAGGACTGGAGAAAATTAAACACAGTTTTTGACAAAACCGCATGACCATGTGTGTTTATGTGTATGAGCTACCCTGAGGCCTGCCACCTTCCCTCCCTTTTCCAGTCTGTTCTGTGGCACAACCTGGACGAGCTCTGCCTTGTGACCGAGACCGCCATCTTCCCAGCACAGGAAGAGAGAGCCGAAAGCTCTTTAGAGGAGTCACCTTTGCTGCCTGACACCAAGAATAAAAGCAGAAGTGCCCTGACATGCCGAGAGCTCCTCCAGCTTATCCCAGATGGAGCCCCCAAGGTAAGAGTTTCTTGGCAATGGTGTGTGTGTGTGTGTGTGATTCTGAATTGGCTTTTCCCTCTGTTGTTTTACAAAACCCACGTTGGAACAGAAATTCTCCTCTGCATTGCACACTGCTTTTACTTTCTTTGATCTTTGGATTTTATGGTACCCTCTAGGCTGCATGCGCTTTGACTTTCTTCGATCATCAGGTTTTATGGTACCTTCTGCATAGATTTATGGGGCGATTCTGCATCTAACATTCGTTCCACATTTTCTCAACTGGGAGGAAAAAGTGCAGCTTAAAACCACATTCAACTACCTCAGGGTAACGCCGTACTGACTGCAAAGTCACCCCTGAACTGCCATAAAATGGCCATAAATCGATGCAGAAGGTACCATAAAACCCGATGATCAAAGAAAGCGAAAGTGGCATGGAGGGGGGAGGCTACCATAAAACCTGATGATCAAAGGAAGTGAAAGCAGCATGCAATGCAGAAGGGAATTTCTGTTCCAATGTGGGTTCCATAAAAGAATTGAGGGAAAAGCCAATGCATGCAGAATCAGCCATGGCCGTTCAGGGGCGACTTTGCAGTCAGTACAGCATTGCCCCTAGGTATTTGAATGTGGTTTTGAGCTGCACCTTTTCCTCAGTGTTGAGAAAACATGGAGCGAATGCTAGGTACAGAATCGCCTGCGTGACTTCTGTTTCCTCAGTGACTCATCAGGGAAGCTGCCTCGGAGGTGAAGGCGGTCGGTTCTTCTGTTGACGTTGCTAAAAACAGTCTTCTGCCTTTTAAAGCTGGCCAAGAAGCAGGAAGTTTAGCAGCCACAAACTGCCTCAGCTGTGCCAGGAAAAGTGTCCTGTTTTCAGTCTGTGACGGCAGCTTTTAAAGGCACTGCTGTCTCCGTCACAGCCAGGAAAAATCGAGCCAGAGAGGACTTTACTTCACTGAGCAAACTGATTACTTCAATGAACAGCATCAGAAGAGCCTGGCTGGATTAGGCCCAGGGTCCATCTAGTACAGTCACTGGTTCTAGGGTTGCCAGTTCCTCATTGGGAAATTCCTGGAGATTTGGAGGTGGAGTTTGGGGAGGGGAGGGACCTTGCTGGGTTCTAGTGGCATACAGTCCACCCTCTGAAGTGGCCATTTTCTCCAGGGAAACTGATCTCTGTCATCTAGAGTTGCAATTCCAGGAGCTATCCAGGCCTCACCTGTTGGTTACAAATTATGAGAGATCACAGGAGAAGCTGAACCACCAATTCAAACTATACAAACAACCATGATATAATTACTAAGATATTATTTTATGGATTTTTTTGTGTATTTATTATAAAGATTTTGAACATTAATAGATACCAATTTTTTTTACAATACATATGATTCCTCTATGATGAACAAAGTGCTTAGGTCAAATAACTGTCCGTATAGTCATGCTGAACTTCTAATAGTCAACTTCTTCATCCATTCAAAGTTCTGTGTAGCAATCCCTCCTCTCAGCAGTCAAAGCCACATAATTTCTCCACATAATTTCTCCACATAATATCTCCACATAATTTCTCCACATAATTTCTCCGTGGATGTGCCATTAATAGAAGTGGAAGGATGAAAAAGTTGACAGAAGTTCAGAGTGACTATACGGACAGTTATCTGGCCTAAGCACTTTATGCATCATAGAGGAATCATAAAATTCTTTGGTATCTATTAATGTTAAACATCTTTATAGTAAATACATAAACATTTCCATATAATAATATCTTAGTAATTATATCATGGTTGTTTGTATAGTTTGTACTGACAACCTTTAGGCTGGCAACCATAGCTGGCAACCTACAATGTCCAGCCAGATGCTCAACCAACAGCATAGTCCTTTGGAATAGAATGGATAAATTCAAAGGACAGACCTATCCTCCATTAAGTTGTTTAATCCTCCAAAGCAAAGCAAAACATAAGAAGGGCCCTGCTGGATTTCTAGTGCAGTGGGTCTGGTTTTTAGCAATGAGCAGGCAGATGTTTCTGTGAAGTCTCCAAACAGGGCACAAAAGCAACCACCCTCCCCCCAGCTTTCTCTCCAAGACCTGTTCTTCAGAGGTATACTGTCTCTGAATCTGGAGGTTCCATTTACATGCCATGGTGGGCAGTCTTCAGTAGATTCCCTTTTCCATGAATCTGTCAAATCCAAACAGTGTGATTGCACAGGAATGATAGTTCTGTGTTTTGACACGGGCAAGGGATGTTTAATGGAATTCTCAGCGTCCTCACCACTTCCCAGAATTCTTTGGGGGAGGCAATGGCTGTTAAATAAAAGGATTTTTATCTGGTTTGAGCCAGTTAGCCTGGTCAAGAACCATATAAAGTGTCCTGTGTTGATGTGGCCCATATTACCTTGCAAGATTTATGGTGCAACAGACTATATTAAGACAGGCTATGATGAAATAGCCTTGACCTGGATAGCCTAGGCTAGCCTGACCTCATCAAATCTCAGATGCTAAGCAGGATAGGCCCTGGCTAGTATTTGGATGAGAGACCTCCAAGGAATACCAGGGTTGTAATGTGGAGGCAGGCAATTTCAAACCATCTCTGAACGTCTCTTGCCTTGAAACCCTACAGGGTTGCCATAAGTCATCTGTGACTTTATGGCATTTCCCACACCTTGGTGCAACATACTGTATTAAGAGAGACTACCGGTCTATCTTACTCAATATTTTCTATTCCTGGTGGAAGTATTCCTGAAATCCTTCAGCTGGAGATGCAAAGGACTGACCTGGAGACCTTTGGCAGCCTGTGCTCTGCTATGGTCCCTTCCCACTTTTTACACAGGTATTAAAAGGTACAGGGGGCCTGGTGTACCTTTTACATCTGGTGACCTATCAGAAACCTTTGAGAGATAGTAGGCTGAAAGTAAATGGTGGTGGATGTCTCGTTCCAGGTCATGGCCCTGCAGCTGTTGACAATCTACAGTGGCTATTACGTCAGGCTCTTGGTTAGCAACCAACTACCGGAGGTCCCCGTGAGACGACATGTGATGTTTAACCACATCCCCTGCCTTTGCCAGTTTATTGAGTTGACAGTGCTGGGGAAGAGATGCTTTTCATTCAAGCTGAGGTGACCCGCAGCCAACACAACATTAATCTGTTCTCTCTGCACAGAGTCAACCAGCAGGGAAAGGAGAGAGGCAACACCCACAATCCGGGGGTGGGGGGGGAGGGAGAATGCTGATTGTTCTCCGTAAGCCAGAGTGGTTAGCAGAAATTTCTTGGAGGCATCCATGTCTTCACATAAGGGATACATTTTAATACTAAGTTAAGAGAAGGGTCTGTCGAATCTAGTGCTCTCTACCCAGTGACCAGTGGCAGCTCTCCAAGATTTTCCCAGATTTGAGATCCTTGTTGTGGAAATGCTGACGTTTCAACCTGGGACCTTTTAGATACAAAGTGGATGCTCAATCACTGGATGATAACTGTTCACGGGGAGAGCAGGAAAGCTGGTGGAACTTCAGTTGGGAAAATCTTGAACCAGACACCATACTCAACCTGTGGCCTAGATCCACACCGCTGTAGTACTGCTGTTGCCAGCTGTTGATCTGTCATGCAGTGCACACTGGAAACATCATCTTACTGACCAAAAAAAAAAAGGAGACGTCTGGGCACCAGAGTGGACTGTTGGCTACAGAACAAAGGATTGGGTCCTGCCAAACTCTTCTGTGAATGGGGGCACAATTTTCACTGTTGTCCCCCCCCCCCTTCACTGCAGACATCCAACTTGTTCCTGGTGAACTCCCATGTCCCAGGATCAGCATTTCAGGGGGCATATAGAGCTACATGGGTGTGTGTGAGAAAGTCATGCTCTGGTGATGGAAAGCCTTCTGTCAGTGGTAGCTTTTGGCAGCGTCCAAGAATATGTCTTTAACAAAAGCATCTTCTTGTCTAGCAACTTGGAGTGCAACAAATTTCTTAAGGTCAGGCTACATAACTCTAGAGTTCAACGACTGGAACTCCAGCATTATGTGATTTCAAACTCCTGAAATGCTGTTTGGACCAATAAAGAGTAACTGTAGGGGGAAGGTACGGATGAGCTACAGTTTTATGGTGTGGAGTTAACTATTCCTTCCGGTACCATTTCCCCAATCAAAAATGCTCTCCTCACCACTGGAAAAGACAGTGATGCTGGGAGAAGTTGACGGCGGCAGCAGGAAAAGAGGAGGATGGATTGACTCAATTGTGGAAGCCACGACCTTCAGTTGGCAAGATGTGAGCAAGGCTGTTAATGATAAACACAATAAGGGTATCTGTCTTTTCCCCCGTAGTGGGACTTAAAGAATCTGGTAAGGGGGACATTTTTTTTATCTAGGAAATTGAGCAAGGGGACGTGTTAACCTCTCCTTCTCCAGCACCATGGCCCTGATCCACATCACTCTGCCCAATGGCTGCTTTTTAGAGCCGGGGAACACATCTGGAATTCCAGTCATCGAACTTTGCCCGCCTGGGCAGTTCAGTTCAATTTCTTTCATCTGCACATGGGGTTGGGGGAAGAAGTGAATTTGGTTTAGGCTGCATTAGCTTCTAATAAGGGAAGCTTAAAGCAGCAGTCCGTGGTGCTCCGGGCATGGTGGACGTTGGGTGTGCCCCAGCTGGACTATGGGATTTGGAACCATTTCTCCTTGACCCCCTGCCAAGCCTGTGAATAAACAGATATTTATAGGATTATACCATTGTAGTCAATGCTTTTTTTCTCTGGAGGTAATGACGCTGTGAGAACTGCTTCGGACTTCGCGCTTCTGGGGGGAGAAGGACCGACTGAAGCTTCGCTCTCTAGTGGGTTCTCTTGATAATTCCCCAGGGGAAGAGAATGACAATGACCAGCAGCAATATAAAATATCTTTTTAATGGTTGCAGTATGCTTGCTTTTCACTCTGATTCAGCATTTTAAGAGTGTTAGGTGATCACAGGCAGGGGGACGTTCGGACCAGTTCATCTCCGTGCTGAAGTTTGTGAACCTGTCTTCATCGTGCTCTGTGATGATGCAAGAGGAAGTTCTTGCAAATTTAGTGACATCCTGGTTTTTCAAAGGAGAGCCATGCGGGAGCCGATTCCAGGGAGAGCCCTTCACTGTTTTTACACTATCCTCATGTTCCACAGGGCCGTTCTGGGGCTGGAAACGGAACGGCCCCTCTCCCTCTGGGTGACTCTTTGCGTACTGGTTCCCTTATACCTAGAAATGCACAAAGAATAAAAGCCTAAATGGCAGCAGTTGTTAAGCACTGAAATGGCACAGTCTTGACACGGCACTGTCCAGATTTTCTTATATATGGCTGTGGTCAAACACGCTAAATAGTCCACTTTCAATCCACTTTCAGTGCACTGTCCAGCTGGATTTTTACTGTGTGAACTGGCAAAATCCAGTTGAAAAGTGAATTGAAAGTGTATTATTTAGTGTATGTGACTGCAACCTAGAAGTGAGTCCCTGGGAAGGAACAAATGTGTGTTTGGAGGGAAGGGAGGAGACAGCTAGAGTAGAAAACACTATGCAGAGGTTAAGGAACCTGTTCCCCCAGTTAGTTGGCAAGTCTTCTGTGGGTTTTGAGAAAGCTGGTGTTTATGGAAACCGAAGTTTCATGGTAGCCAGGCCCTTTAATTCAGGATGAGCTAATTTTCCCAGTTCCTTCCTTTTCTTATTTCACAAATTCACTGTACCATACATTTCCACACCCTCTAAATAGCATCTTAATGAGAATTTCTAATGTTAAACCTAGAACTGGAATATGTGCCATTTTCTACAACTTTCAGTTCCTTAAGATCATGTGATTCTTTCCCCTCCCACTGTGTTACCAATGCGCACATTCAGCCGACACCTGTGCCATTTCCCCCTCTCTATAACCAAGTGAACTGATTAAAAAATTGCAACAAAGCAATCTTGATATGGTCCAAGTGTATGTTTGGATCAAGAGTGCTTTGAGTATACTCCTCGACAGGCACCCAGGCACATGCATATCCATTAGGGTTGCCAGCTCCGGGAAATCCCTGGAGATTTTTTGGGGGGG